CTGCTGAGTACAGGAAATGGCTTGTTCATTATGAGAATTATGATTTCTTTGCACATTGTGTGTCTTTTATTGAGCCGTATAAATCCCATAAATATTTCATTAATGAAAATAGATGGAAAGTCGAGATGGGATGCGTTTTCAATGGAATGACTTCTGCAGCTTTAGTAAGGGAGACATGGCGGCTGGGTGTGCAGCAGTGCCACCTATTGGTCAGGCAAGAGAAGTGTCTGAATGCTTTGTGTTCTCATCTTTTCATACATGTCTGTACTACATAGGACATTTCTGTGGTCCTCAGCTCCTTTTAGTGGCGGGAATGGTGAGGGGACAGCAGATGATTTATAGGTCATCCCCTTACTGTATTTAACAAAACATGGCAGTATTTGTAAAGGAATGCACACGCGCCCTCATTTTTTATTTTTTTGTATGCATATATCTGCATGTAGCTCAGTTTTAACCTGTATGTTTCATGAGTAAGCCTGAGTAGCAGCAATTCAAAAGCCCATCTCTCCTAGCTTTTCACAGCATAGTAGTAAATTACTAAGAAGAAGTTGTGAGTAACTAGCTGGAATGCACCGCCTGCTGGCTGCAAATGATAAATATGAAAGGTGCATTCAGAGTATTACGTATTTATCTGACTAAAAAGATATGCAATAATATTCCTAGAGCTGCAACAACTAATCTACCAAATTGATCGATTATGAGAATAGTTGGCAACTGTTTTTTTTTTTTTTTTTTTTTTTTATACAACCAATCGATTAATTGAAAAAATAATCGGGTAATCGATTATGAAAATAATAGTTGGCTGCAGCCCTAAATATTACAATACTTTTTTGCAGGTAAATAAAGAACACGTACAAAAATACTTTCTATTTCCTTCAATGTTGACGCCTGACACCCTCTTCATCTGTGTGCGAGTTTACATTGAATGGCGGCGCGTATATTTTTCTTGTCCGCACATTCCATCTCTCGGTAGTCATTTTCACGCTTCCACCAGCAGGGTAATTAATCCCGGCTTTGTGAGGCAGATACATTGTTTCCATCCACTAGCAGGAGATGGAGACCGTTCCGAGACAAAAACCTGATTTATGCAAATGAGTCTGAAT